CACACACACTGTAGGCTATTAAGAGCTTTTTATTTTTTTAAACACAAATACTTAAATATTTAATCTGGTAATTTCAGAACGTAGAAAATCAACCAATCACCATAGATTCATTTTTGTTTTGAATCAGTAGTGATTTTGATAACCTTCTTTTCTGTCCCTGAAATTCTGTGATTCCGATGAATCACACAGAGGAGCTGGGGACTCTTCTTATCTCTGTATTTGTATGTAAACTCGGAGGTTTGCTGCATTGTGTCCTTATACAAAAATATTGGAAATAAATTTTTAAAGCATTTGGAATTTATAATGATGATGATTACCTTTCCAGGCCCTTAAGGATGACAAAGAAGAAAAGAAAATATGTTGACTTCTTTAGTTGACATTTCTTTAGCCTACCAAAGGGTTTATTATTGGTATAGGTATAGTAAAAGTGGCAGAAGATCTTGCCTTAGTATAACAAACGAGAAGATCTAAGATGATCTGTACACACATTCCTTAGGAGAATTTTATGCACCCATTTTCCCATTTATTTCTCCATTTGTTTTAGGGGGAAAATACAGCAGCAAATGAATTCAAGATCTGTGTAAAATTCATATGATGAAATACAGCTGCTTGTTAAGAACTTGTATTTCAGTGAAAGGGTTAATAATGCATAACCCTATGGAACATTATTGTTATACCAGTGTTTAACAAATGAAAGTACTGGCTGAGCTTCAGACTTTCCATTGAAATGTAGAGCCCTTTGAACATCATCACGTGCATGTGGAGATTCAAACTCCTGACAGTTCATTCACGATCACACGTTTACCTGGGTGTAGGTAGAATCTCCGAAAACAATTATTAATCCAAAAATAATTACAATATAAATTGAACATTAACTTACAGATTATCCTTTTTTCCCCTACAGCAGCAACTTTAATTGATTCTTATTCTTTCTTTCTCTCACGCTGTGTGCACACATATACACACCATTAATGAACTTTCAAAAATTACATCTTTAAATAGTCAAACAACTAAGACATTTTGTTTGGCCGATCGTTAGTATCTAACACCAAAGATAATTTTTACCCTTGCTGACCCTAAGCAGGGCTAGGAAACGACTTCCTACATTGAAGTATGATCATCAGAATTATTTGATGCTGTATCTCAAACTGTGTTGAAATGCTTTTTAAAGCCCTGAAATTTCAGGTAGGCTGTTAAATTCCTCAAACCTAGTGTCTCGTATAGAAACTAAAGGTTATTCTTGACATTGTTATTTCCCCCTCCAGTTTATTCTCAGGGGGTTCATTCAGAGGTTTTGGGAAGGGAGCTACCTGGTCCTACTCCCTGTTCATCTCACCATTTCTCTTAAAATAATGATAGTAACCATACTAAGGCTTTAAAATAAATATTTCCCACATATTTCGACACATGTTATTTCTATTCATAATTCTTAACTAAATTTAGATTTTTATTAATCCAATGTGACTTAAAATTTCTGCATTAACAGCACAATGTGGAATTGGGCTTATTCTCTTTGGCTACAGATAAAGCCATCATTTTGAAAATGGCTCTTTCTGACAAAAAGGTGTTCTTTTGAAATAAAGTCCTATTCACTACATTCCTCTTAGAGTTAATGTGAATTTTAGTGCCTCTAATTTTAGATTGAAGTGAAGTCTAGAATAAAACCCACCAGCTGACAATTGAATTTATAGATAGTTGTGAATATTTCAGGCTTGAATAATAGAGCTGTAGAATTTCAGAGACAGAGAGGCAGAGAATTAAGACTCACTGTAGTTTTAGGTTATAATATAATAATGTCTAGGAAGTGTTCAGTGTAATGAGCTAAGTAGTAATTAGGAGACAACTGTGTTCTTTCAGGGATTCTGTTTAGGCATCACTGCAAACCCTGGGTGGGTGATGCAGTAGGGCAGACCTGCAGCCAGTGCAGCGGCTCCTTCAGCCCTTTGCCACTTATACATGGGCTGTGGATGTAATTGCTGAGAAATAAAAGCAGTAGATCTCTGCGTGCCACCTCTGACTTGCTTGCTTGCTTATTTATTAAAATTGAGTAAATAAACACCATGAAAAACTCTGTTGTCCTCGAGACATCTCTGCTCTGGACCTTGGAGTCAGGCCTGAGTTCAGATTCAGGCTGCACTGCTTCCTAGCTATATGACCCTTAGCAAATTTTGAAAGGTCTGAGGCTCGGTTTCCTAAAGAGAAATACTTCTCTTACAGAGTTATCTTGGAGATTCAATGAGGGGTAATATTTGTAAAGTGCTCAGCTCAGTGCCTGGCACATAATAAGCATTTGATAAATAGCAATTCTGACTTTTATTATTTCCACGGGGCAAAAGATATTAATTAAGGAAACACTTCATGGCAGGGCAAAAACATGCACAAGCTGCAGCACAAATCCAGTTGGTTCACTTTCATTTATAGCTCCAGTGGCCAGACCTTGTTTAGGAGGAGATATTTCTTCTGTTTCAAGGACCTCTCTGGCAGCTCGTGCCTCCTGAATTTCCTTGTTTTATCCAGCCTATTGCCAAGTTAGGGTGTGAGATTTTGGATGCGAAAACTTGCTGGAGAGTTCCTATTTTTCAGGGACTTTAACAACATGCATTTGACACATAAATATTTGATGGTTTAGCAAATAACTGATCCGTAAATGGGAGGGCAATTTCTGGCCTTGTTCTTTAAATCAAGAGTTCTGCAAATTTTACAAGTCCATGAAGAAGAGCCTGAATAAAAGAAAACTGGGGTGAAAGTGACCATGGAAGATACAGGAAAAGAGAGAGAGGAAAAAAGAATTTTTAAAAAGAGGGCCTGAAGATCAAGCAGCTCCAAGCAACTCTCCTCTGGATGAAAAAAAAAAAAAAATTAAATAAAGAAATGGTGCCTTGTTGGCAGATGGTGAAAGAGTTAATTGTCATAGCTGTGAGAAATTCAGTGCTGGAGAGAGGAAAGGGGAGCAAGCATGGTTTAGTACCCTAATAACTTCTAACTCTAGTCTAAGATCATAATGTATGTGCGCACAGTCCAGTAATTATAAGGTAATAAGTGAAGTGGTGGTGTAAGTGCTCTAAATTAAAAGGAATTCACAGGGCTGCTGTAAGTCAGTGCCGACCCGCTTTCTTTCAAACGTTGACTTGAGGAAAGTGCTTAGCCCAGAGTGCTAAGGAGACAAGGAGAGCGATCTATTAATTACAACGTTCATTAACAGTGACGGGTACAAGGCAGCAGATGCAGAAGAGAGAGGACGCTGTAGTTCAGGCTGGCGAGGGGGATATTTTTTTCTTTCACTAGTTCTTGAGGAAAGGACAACACAAGTGGGTGGACGAAAGTACGAAGATATTTTGGTGGCTTTCTTCTTCCTATTTGCTTTCTTCACATCCTGATACTGCTTGACTTTAGAAAGCTGTGCAAGATTTCTCAAAGTGAAATATCTTTGGTGAGAGGCAAACCTTGCCTCAATGCTTTGCTCCTGAGACCACCTACTTGGAACAGTTAAGTGAAACTTCCTGCCAGAAAAGTTCCATATTTTTTTTTTCATTTTAAAGTAACCGAACAATGGAGTACCTGGAGGAGAGCATGAAATTTGTGCAATGATCAAAAATCATTAGATTTATAGTGAAAGAGATAACCGCATCCCTTTGGTTATCCTGTGACGAGTCCCCCAAATTCTAGTGAATGACCATTACCCAGAGGGATTCCCATAAATCAACTTTCCACTGGGAAGCAATTATCTAAGTCCCTTTCTTGACTGTCACCTCTTCTTTCTATAGTGGGTTCTCAGAAGCTTCTTAGAGATTTTGCTAAACAAGGTTTTGCACAATGGCTAAATAAAAAGAAAAGAGGACCAATTATATCTTTTCATCTAATTACCTTTCCAGAAATTCGGTCGCTTGTGAGACCAACAAAGAAAGAGGGATGAAGTGTTTCTTCCAGATAAGAGAAACAGTGTGCCAGATTACATGCTTCATCATTTTTCCTTTTAGGAGGTATAATGTTAAATGACAAAAAGAAGTGGGGGAAGGACCATCACAAATATATTTTTTAGGACAAAATTTGATACATTTCTACTTTACTGAATATAAATATAACATCAGATTTTATAACATCAGATAATATCAGATTTGTGAACTCACAGGTATACTGAAGGCTCAAATGGCTTTTACTGATTCATCTCTTAAATAATGGCATATGTGAATGTGCATGAACACATGCACGCATTTATTAATGAATGCTAGGGATCAGTCACTAAATTTTGCAGGCTCTAGGAAATAATCTTTAAATATTGGCTTTAATTTTATACTTGATGTCTTTCTATATTGCCAAATGGCTATGAAATAGAGCAATTTAAATAAAGAAACAAAGTGATTGAGGATATATTCCCTATGTGTTTTAGTCAGATCAATAAAAGACACAGTTATGCTTATGGAAGCGTGCTGACAAACAGTAATTACAGAGCTGAGAATCATCTGTTCAGTCTTGAAAATAAGAGTTTTATTCCGCTCATAATAAAATGATTGCAGCATCAGAATGAGGAAGGAAAGGTAGAGTGAGGATAAATACAATTTTAGAAATGGTATAGACTTTGCAAATCACCACCTCTTCCATTGATAAATTTAGAATCTAGAGTTGATTTAGATATTGACACTGGTTCTCCAAGAGAAAGGTAAAATAAAAGCAATTGGACTCTTTAGAGCTTTTGTTTATGGCCTGTCTGGGCCCTTTGTTGTAACCCTGTCATGCCCTTATGCTGATTACCTTCTTGTAGAACAAGAAGTATTGACTAGAGAATGAATGATGTGTAGTCCCTAGCCCTTAGGAAACACTCTCAAAGAGCAATGTCTTTAACATATGAATTTTTTTAACATATGAATGTTTTTTTCCTCCTTTTACCTTTCCCTTTCCCTTTCTCTATTTTTTCACCATCTCTTTTGTTTCTACCTCTTTTGGTGTCTGTGTTTGACACTCTCTCCTCTTTCTCTCTCTGTTCGTATCTCCCTCAATCTCAGGCTTCTCTGCAGAATGTCAAACAAAGATCGACACATTGATTCCAGCTGTTCGTCCTTCATCAAGACGGAACCTTCCAGCCCGGCCTCCCTGACGGACAGCGTCAACCACCACAGCCCTGGTGGCTCATCAGACGCCAGTGGGAGCTACAGTTCAACCATGAATGGCCATCAGAACGGACTTGACTCGCCACCTCTCTACCCTTCTGCTCCTATCCTGGGAGGTAGTGGTCCTGTCAGGAAACTGTATGATGACTGCTCCAGCACCATTGTTGAAGATCCCCAGACCAAGTGTGAATACATGCTCAACTCGATGCCCAAGAGACTGTGTTTAGTGTGTGGTGACATCGCTTCTGGGTACCACTATGGGGTAGCATCATGTGAAGCCTGCAAGGCGTTCTTCAAGAGGACAATTCAAGGTTAGTGTCGGACCTGGGAATACTCTCCCCACTTCCAACCTCACATGATGGGTTTTTGTTTTTCCTTATTCTTATTCTCATAAGTCAAGTACCATAGTTTTAATTCTCTCTCGAGTAGAAAACAGAAATAGATTACAATTGACAGTGGAAGATTTATAGATTATAATCCCCCCAGATATACTCCATATCTATTAATTTTCCTCTTACTGTTAAGCTTTAGTGGTGCAAGGATAATAAACTTTGGGTAGAGTTTATAAGCGTGTAGTTATTATTAGAGCAATGTGGGTCTATAGAGCAACTGTACAAATGCACATTGGACTAACAGTGTTTTTGACCCCTTTGGATCTTCTTACAGATGCATGGAAATAAATACTTTAGACCAGTGATTTTCAAACTTGAGTGTGCATTAAAATCATCTGAAAATCTTGTTAAAATGTAGGTTCCTGGGTCCTACCTCCAGAGTTTCTGATTCATTAGATCTGGAGTGGGGACCTGCCTGAGACTGTATATTTTAAATAAATTTTCAGGTAATGCTGATGATGCTGCCAGTCCAGGGACCAATTTTAAGAATCACTACTCTAGACCAATTTAATTACCTACTCATCTTTCTTTTTTCCTTGTGGTTGGCTATACTTTTTCTAAGTTTTAAATGAATTTTATATAAAAAAATTTCCAAATTATGCCAATAAAATGTCATTGAATGATAGAATGTACCTCCAACATATATAAGTGATATATACCCCAAACTTCATAGATTTCAGATTTATAAATAACATTATTTTCCCCATATAGTGTAGAAAAATAGGACTGAAATTTGTTGATGCCCTTTTAAACTGGTGATCTACAGATCTAGAATTCAGTTCATTAAAAAGCTATGGATATATATATTATGACAAAAAGTTTCACGTTTTTAGGTCTCTTGTGATTCACTTTTGAAGAAAATAGGGGAAGGAAAAACATATATTTTGAGGATCCACAGCACACCAATGGTTCTGTTCAGTGGTTTACGATATATGTCTTCCTAACAACCAGTTATGGACACAAAGTCTATCTTCCCACATATCAGTGGTTCTCAAACTTGCCAGCTCATTGGAATCAGTGGAAGACTTAAAAAAACATGCTGATGCCAGGGCTCATGTCCCCAGATTCTGAATTAATTGGTCTTGGGTACAGCCAGGGAAAGGGGATTTTAGAAAGCTTCCTAGGTGATGGTTAATGTAAAGGCAAAGTTAAGAACTACTGCACTGTACTGTGTTGTATTATTTGACAACAGTTCTCAAAGTGCAGTGGCTGTACCAGCAGTACCAGCATCATCTGAGAAAATGTAAGAAATGCAAGTTCCCAGGCCCCATCCTGTATTAACTCAAACAGAATATCTGGGGGTGGGCCTAGCAATCTGCATTTTACCAACCCTCTGGGTAATCCTGATGTAATTCAAATTTAGAACCACTGCTCTAGACCATGCTACTGCTGATTTACCAATGACCATAGACCATCATCATCTAATGGCCCCTTGTTGGGCAGAACTGAAACCAATTTATTAAGAGCCTTCATAATTTTGTGATGTACTAGTTTTCAAAGCACAAAAGAAGTAATGTTTGTTAAGTGCTAATCCTTTTAAATATTTCCACAAAACATGATTCTGAAAACCCTTATGTGTGCATAGAGCAGTCTCCCACCTTCCCCCTTTTTTTTTTTTTTTAGTTTTTGAGGCAGATTTTTACTCTTGTGGCCCAGGTTAGAGTGCAATGGCATGATCTTGACTCACTGCAACCTCCATCTCCTGGGTTCAAGTGATTCTCTTGCCTCAGCTTCCCAAGTAGCTGGGATTACAGGCATGCACCAACACGCCCCACTAATTTTGTATTTTTAGTCGAGACAAGGTTTCACCACATTGATCAGACTGGTCTCGAACTCCTGACCTCACGTGATCCACCTGCCTCAGCCTCCCAAAGTGCTGGGATTACAGGCATGAGCCACTGCGCCCGGCCCACCTTCCCTTTTAAGAGCATCTGGAAATCCAACTCTTCTCCATCAGTTGCACTGAGCATTTTAGTGACAATCCCTAGTGGAATTGGTTGTACTGTCTCTCCCTTGCTTTTTTGTTGTCTGTTACATAACTTCCTTGATCTTTGGCTGATGAGAACACAATCAAAATGTTTACTTAGTCAGGTACAGTGGCTCATGCCTGTAGTCCCACCACTTTGGGAGGCTGAGGCTGGAGGATCCCTAAGGCCAAAAGTTTAAAGGATTAATCTGGGCAACAAAGTGAGAATCCTATCTCTGTAAAAAATTTACAAATTAGTTGAGCATGGTGGCATGTGCCTGTAGTCCTGGTTACTGGAAAGGTTGAGGCAGAAGGATTGCTTGAGCCCAGGAATTGGAGGTTGCAGTGAGCCATGATTGCACTTCAGCCTGGGGTGACAGAGCTAGACACAGTCTCAAAAAAAAAAAAAAAAAACAAAAGACAAAAAAAAAAAAAATGTTTACCCAAGACATCATACTCTTATATGGTAGATGAGATACTTAATCCTAATCTTTTCATAGCCTTTCATAGTTGTAAATGAAGAACACAAAGCCAAGTTGTATGCAGTATATATGAATGTCCTAAATATCTTCATAGCTGTATCTTTATAATTTCTGGCTCAACGTTGATATATTTACTGATATTTTCTTACAAAAATCTTTCATTTACTGGATCTTTATTTTCTTTATCCTCATCTATAAGTTGAAGGCATTAACCTTAGAATACTTAAGTTTAAAATGAAATAGAAAATCACATGGAGAGCGAATAAGCTAAAAACAATGGTGGTCTGTGCACAAGGCTTTTTATCACCTCTGGGCATTCGATAAATCTCTTCAGTCTATTTGATACCACTGCAAAACTTGAGAATGAAAGCACACCTCATATCTTTGGGTGTTTACCAGCCATTGTTCAACAGTGTTGTAATCCTTATGGTTACAAAGTATATAAAATTTAAACTGTTATTAATTTGATTTTGTTAACTCAGTTTACACAGCTCTGCATGTAACTACACAAAGATAAGCAAATATTTTGGGATAAATTCACAAGCACTGAGTGCGCTGATATAAGCAAGAGGTTCTTGATGTGAAAACCACTCCCATTTATTCAACAAATATTTACTGAGAACCTACTGTGATTCAGACAGCAGGCTGGTTGGAGTGTCCTCTTATGCACACTTTATTAAAGCTTTGTTCCCAAAGGCTGTGGATTGAGATGAATTCCTCTAACAAATGTCTCCTGCCTTGAGGAAATACCAATGTTTAGGGTTCAGGGGATTAAACCCTCGAGTCTTTGGTATGTTTTGTAAAGATAGAATAACAATGTGAAAAAATTTCCTGATACATGTCTCAAAGCATTTTATAGGTTAGACATTAATAGCTCTGCAATAGTTATTTACTGAGCAATAATTAGAATAGAGCAATTGGAATTCTATGCATGATTATTCTTTAGGATGCTGAAATGCTACCAAAAGCTTAACAGAGCAAAGCACAGGGTGATTCTTGGCATTGATGTATGTGCTCAGTTTTACTCCATATTGGAGAGAGCAAGTTTCAAGGATTTTGAGCAGGAGACAGAGATGTCACTGTCCAGATTAGCACTCTGGACTTGCCCACCTGGCTGTGCTTGTAGCTGGCAGCTGCGCAGCACTTGGTGAGGCTACCCTGCTAGCTACATCATCAGGCATCACACTGTGGTGCTCACTTAGCCCCAAAAAGGCAGTGAGGCAAATAAAGGGATTAAATTGTGAAAGTATAATGTAATAATTAGAGCGGTAATTGTAAGGAAGATTGGAACGGCCCCTCCTTTCTGTGGCCAAATACAGTAGTGATAGTGGTTGAACTCCAAAGATGTTGAGTGTGGCCCAGACTCTTATTCCAATGCTGAAGCTGCCTTAGAGTTCATTCTGATGCCTTCAGACAGCATTGCAGCGAAACCACCCTTCACAGATCATAGTCTCTCCCTCCCCTCCGTTAAAGCTCTCTAAGGAAAAAGAAGAGATTATGTAACTCCCCTTGACAACAAGTCTTTCTAGACTAGAGCCCCAGTGGCCAGGCCGTTACATAAATGTGACTCCTGCCTCACCAGGGCCTGATTCTACTCTCACTGACTTAAGGGACGTGTGCATCCATAGGCATTTTCATGTACGCCATCATCTGTTAAGATCTTTCCTTTTTTATATATCTTCTTCTTATTATTTTTGAGACAGGGTCTCACTGTGTTGCCCAGGCGGTCGTACAGTGAGGTGATCTTGGCTCACTGCAGCCTCAACCTCCTGGGCTCAAGTGATCCCTCCCCCCCCAGCCTCCCAAGTAGTTGGATAACAGGCATGCACCACCAGGCCTCCCTAATTTTTCACTCTTTTGTAGAGATAGGATCTCCCTATGTTGCCCAGGCTGGTCTCAAACTCCTGGCCTCAAATGATCCTCCTGCCTCAGCCTCCCAAAGTGCTGGGATTACAGGCATGAGCCATTTTATTTCTTATTTTAACAATTTATTTTTAGGATTGGTTATCGAGTGTGTAATAAATATATAAGTTTAAAAAGTTGGGAAAAATACTTCTTAAACTTGGAACCAAAAGAACATCTATCCAGAACACATCTTGAGAGAAGTAATATAAATTGTTCTTTTCAGAGCTGAATGTGCTATTTCTGTTGTGAAAGACAATTAATCATGGATTTCAATGAAAGGTAAATAGAAAGGAATATTTTACTTACTGACTATTTTCAAGTTATCATTGAAAAACTATTGAATTAAGTCAGCATTTAGTTGGGTAGAAACCAAAGTTTTGCTTTTTTGATTTTGTTTTCAGCTGACCAAAATTCTTTTTACAAAACTTTGACAGCTCTACCCTGTCATCCAATAGGGTTACAATGGCAGCAGCGATTTCATGTCATTTTTTAGGCATAGTAATTTTGGGGATGTGATATTGTTATTTTGATTTATTTTCCAATTCCAATTTTGGCCTTAATTCATA